TTTTTTTTTCTATTTCTGTGAAGAATGTCACTGGTATTTTAATAGGGATTGCATCGAACCTGTAGATCACTTGGGTAGTGTATCAGTCTGTTTATGTTGCTTATAACAGAATACCTGAAACTGGGTGATTTACAAAGAAATGACATTTATGTTTCACAGTTTTGGAAGTTGGGAAGTCTATGGCCCAGAGGGTGTGTCTAGTGAGGGCTTTCTTCTACAGTGGTGTCTCATGGCCAGAATAAGGCTAAGCAAGAGAGAGCTAATGTCACTTGCTCTCCTTTTAAAGCCATCAGAACCGCACCCACTATTCCATGAATTGATTAATCCATTGACAAGGGCATAGTCCTCACAGTCTAAACACCTTTTAAAGGTCCCACCTTTCAATTACCATAACAGGATTTCCCACCTTTCAACACTGTTACAATGGAGATCAAGTTTCCAACACATGAACTTTTAGGGGACACATTTGTCCCATAGCAAGTACTATGATCATTTTGACAATATTAATTCTTCCATTCCATGAACATGGATGGGCCGTCTTTCCATTTTTTGTGTCCTCTTTAATTTCTTGGAAAGGTAAATTTTAAAATAATGAATGTTTTGCTAAAGTAATGGGACTACCAATGATTTTCCTTTTTTATTAGTTTTCTAAAATTTCTCTAATGCTACCATTATTTTACTTCTACAATTGAAAATAAATTTATGTTAAACAATGTCTCAACCAGTTTGAGACAAGTAAAGTTTCACCACTAAACATACATAATCTTTATTGTTATATATATTTAATATTATCAAATTAAAAATAGAAATATGGTAATAAGATTTGTGTGACCTTGGGGAATGGGTTAGTGTTTTCAGTTGAAGATCTGCTGCTTCCTGGTAACTTTGTGTTGCTTTGTTAAGCTAATGTAAATCATCCCAAGCAAATTGTCACCACCGCAAACTCTAAAGATCCCTATGTTAGGAAAACCAGTAACAGAAAAATAAGAATGTAGGTATTACAATGAAAAGGTGATTTGTAGATATTTGAAGTTTTTTCTCCAGCTTAGGTGATGGATTAAGTTGAACCAGATAAATTGCTAGTATTTGACCAGTTTTAGTTTACTAAAATTTCAACTTATATGGTTCAACCTAATAATTCAGACATTTTCTTGAGTTGTTCTGAACTGAATAGCCTGCTAACCTATCAGATATTAAAAACCAAACTCGCCTTATCTTTGTTTCCCTTTCCTAGGAAAACTCAGAAAGAAGAACACGGTTCACAGGTCGGGCCTGCACAATCACAAGGGAGTCCTTTCCGATCAATCAATATCCCTGAGCCTGTTCTTCCAAGTGAAGACTTTACCAACATTTTGCCTTCCCAGGCCTATGAAAAAGGTACAGTGATCAG